AAAAAAAAAAAAAAAAAAAGACAGAAAGTAGGATGGGGGCTGTCAGGGGTTGGAGGTGGGAAATAGGAAGTCAAGTGAGGGACTTAGTTTCAGTTTTGTAAGATGAGAAGAGTTCAGCCAAGGGGTGGTGGTGATAGTTGCACAATAGTGTGAATGGACTTAATGCCACTGACCCGTACACTTAAAAATGATTCAGATGATATATTTTATGTGCATTTTACCACAATTAAAAAAATCAAAAAGCAAGCTGACATTAGGTGTAGGAAGACAAAGTTAATACTTCTTCTGAAAGAACCAATTTAATAACCCTCTGTGTTAACTCACGTTCCTTAACTATGTTTTCTGTTCATAAAAATATAAAAAACATAAACTTTTTGAGAAATGTGATTAGTAAAATGTGTTATTCTGTGACAGTTCTTTTCACTTAAGTATAAATCGCAGACAGCCCTCTGGGCGGTAGATACTGATCTCATTCATTCTTTTGAATACCTGTTCCCTATACTGGACACACCATGACTTATTCGACTCTTTCTCTGGAAATTTAGGTTGTTTCCAGGTGTTTTGTTTGTTTGTTTTTGTTTTTCTGCCAGTACAAACACTGCTATAACAAAACTTTTTGACACAGGAGAGCAATGATGAAGGCCAGGATCTGAGCAGTGACAGTGAGGAGGCAGAGGAAGGAACAGATCAAAGAAACATTCAGGAAAATGGATTAGACTTAGTGTCCATTGCAGATGTTGGTGTAAGAGTGGGAGAATGGGTGCTGCTGCAATCTTATTGAGAGAAGAAACAGAGGGATAGCAGAAGGTTTCAGGTTAATATTTACCTGTAGATTTTTTTCTCTTTCTGAGACAGAGTCTCATTTTGTCGCCCTCTGGAGAGTGCTGTGGCATCATAGCTCACATCAGTGTCAAACTCTTGGGCTCAAATGATCCTCTTCCCGTAGCCTCCCAAGAAGCTGAGACTACAGGCACCCGCCACAACTCTCAGCTGGTTTTTAGAGATGGGGTCTCGCCCTAGCTCAGGCTGGTCTCGAACTCCTGAGCTCAGGTGATCCCTCCATCAGCCTAGGCCTCTCAAAGTGCTAGGATTATAAGTGTGAGCCATCGCACCCAGCCCAACCTGTAGGTATTTTTGGTTATAAAGAGTAACACCTTTGTCAAAATGTAATTTCCAAAAAGTTAAGTCCAGGACTTTCATACAAATATGAAGTGAGCACATATAAAAGAGGGATGGAAGAGAAGCTGAGGTGATAGGGTCCGTTTTGCAAATGCCGGGTTTGAGATAGGCATGCAGTCTGTCTCTGCCCAGAAAGCAGCTTCAGCTCAGGCCTAAAACTTGGGAAAGCTGTCAGAGTTGGAGAAACTTGACTTGAGAATTATTTGCACAAGGTCATGGTTGAAACTATGAGCATGGGTGAAAGGTGTCCCCAAGAGGTCTTAAATTGTAGAGGAAGGAGATGGCATCCTAGGAGAGAGCCACCTGCCTTTAGGGGTCTGGGCTAGGAGACTGACTGAGGAGGGGTGACAGAAGAGGAGGACCAGGGTTTGTAAAGCTGGGGAGAGAATTGTCACAGCGAGTCCGTTCTTAGGCAATGCTATAATGTTGAATATCTTTTAGGAGTTAACAGAACTGGCTTTCCTCTCCCCTGCTTATTGTGAATACCCTGCCTCTGCGAGTCTTTCTTCAAATACTGATTCCCTGTATAAACCACCAGAAATAATGGTATGGTTTGATAAGCCAGCTGGAGCACTCCTTTGAGTTTAAGGAAAAAGCCGCATCAAACCACAGCAGGGCACAGTTCCATTATAGTTTGGCATTGGTTCTCCATAGTGTTAAGAAGTCATTTTTTAAGGCTGGGCTATGTTCACAGGAACTAGGACTTTATTATTAAAAGAGAGTGTCAATTTCATAAAACTATGTAAACAAGAAAAGGCTCCACAGAGGTAACCTAAGAAAAGAGTAAATGAAAAGAATTTTTAAAACATTTAGAATTAGCTTTGAAATAGTCTCAACAGTCATGTTAAGATATTGCCAGCAGCCGGGTGTGGTGACTCATGCCTGTAATCCCAGCACATTGGGAGGCTGAGGCGGGAGGACTGCTTGAGCTCAGGAGTTGGAGGCTTGTCTGAGCAAGAGTGAGACCCCAACTCATGAAAAAAAATGGAAAAACCCAGCCAGGCGCCATGCCCAGAGCCTGTAATCCCAGTGGCTTCGGAGGCTGAGGCAGCAGGATGCCCACAGCCTGAATCTGAGGTTACAGTGAGCTATGATGCCATTGCACTCTGCTCAGGACATAGGGTAGAACTCTGTCTCAACAACAACAAAAAGATATTGCCACCAGACCTTTTTATAAAGAATCTGTGGATTTTTAAACCAAGGCTATGTGATAGGAGGAGAGAATAAAAAGAATTACTAGTTGTCTGAGTGTACTATTTTGTCCCTTCTCCTGGCTTTGAGAAATACCCGAGTTTGGAAGAATAACTGAGTCATCGGAACAGCTGACGTCATTGAGAAGTGAAATGGTTGGGAACCTGCCAAGTTTTAGGCAGGATTCAATTTAATTCAAAATGCATGTTCTCTATTTTATATTAGATACCATTACGTTCCTGAAAAATAATCGAAAGAAATAAAGACTCTCACCCTCAAGCCCCTTGTCATCTTGTAGAAAAATAAGATATGTACTTAAAAAAAAAAAAAAAAACATTGGAGAAAACGCTCTAGGAAGGTGCTCTGCGACTCCCCACCCCAGGGCTTGCTTGTTATTGCGGAAGGATCTTGCAGTCAGTATGACACTAGTCCTCACTTGGGGTCCCCTGACCCACAGGACTCATTTAGGGAGGAAGATGCCAGTGGGAGAGCAGTGAGGGTAGAGGGAAGGCTGGCATGGCAGGTCAGAGGAGGCAGCAGGTGGTGAATGAGCTGTTTTCCAGATAATATGATGGCAGGAGTATTTATAGGGTGGTCAGTTTTGGGCATGATGGACTCAGGCCATAATCTTGGGTTACTTGATTGTAAATTGCAAAAGTCATAGCTGTGGAGTGTTGATCTAAACAAAGACTGATGAAGCCACAGTGGAAAGCTTGCTTGTGGGTTCTGTGTCACCTTGAATATCTCCAGCGGCTGGCAGTTAGTGAAGAGTGCTGACTGAGGTGGTGGAGTCTTTTCTTCCTTCAGAATCCTTCTGTGCTCGGCACTGGCTCATCTCCATGCATTAAATGAGTCAGGGACACTAATCAGATAAGCCCTGGAAGCGTTCTAGTAGGTTCCTAGGAAAGCATTTCAGTGATTGAACTCACTTCTCCCTGCCCAAACTGAGTGCCAATTCTACCTGCTTGTAGGAATAACCAGGAAGAATCTCAAGACCCTGAATTGTGCTGAAATCACCTGAACTGGGGGATAGAGTGGTTAAGGTTACAGATTTTGAGCTTTGGCTATTACTTCGCAGTCATTTGACAGTAGAAAATCTTTACTGTCAGAGAGTGCTTTAGGTTTTATTTGTGGGCGAGCTGCTGAGACCTGCTCTGGTTTTGTCTGGACACATAGCCCCAGCCTTGGCAGTGGGACCTACTTGTTTGCACTACTGCCATCATCCCCAGCTGCTCAGTGTGAGAGACACCAAGATCCAGACACAAAAAGACATCCTCCCTGTATGTCCTGAGGTTGTGACAGGTCTTTCCTCTTTTACCTGTTCATTTTAATCTATATATTATATATAAATAATTGGCTTACCCTATTCACTGCACAGAGAGAAAAGTAAAGATCTGAATTTCTCATAGCTGGGAGAAAGTATTTCCAGAGTGTGAAAGAATAGCCATTGGAAATTTCAGCAACGGCTGCTGGTATAGTGGAAATTTATTACTCAACTCAGTAACAGTCTTGGCCCAAACCAGGCAGTTGTGTGGGCAAGCAGTGGGCACCTTTCCTAAACAGCACAGTGCCAGGGACACCTTTGTGCATATTTGAGACAGCCTAAACCGAGGGTATCTTTCTATCAAAGACTGGTTACCTCTGAACCTCAGACATACCACAGAAGCTGTTGAGCCCCAGCCAGTGCATTTTACTTGTATGAGATACTGCATAGCTTCCCAAGGGAGGGAGGCAAGAAGGAAATCAGAGCCCAACAATAAATAGCTCTTTGTGCCCGTCCCCTTCCCAGCCCCAAACCGTTGAGATTGTCGAGTATACAACCAGTATTCGGTAGAAGGCAGCTGCCCAGCAGCTTGGCAGAGGGTGACCAGATGCAATCTTGTCATTCTACAGTGTGTGGCTGTGACCTGGCACAAGGGGGCTTCTTCATAAAGAATGGAGAGTACCTCTGCACCCTGGACTACCAGCGGATGTACGGGACACGCTGCCATGGCTGCGGGGAGTTCGTGGAGGGTGAGGTGGTGACTGCTCTGGGCAAGACCTACCACCCCAACTGCTTTGCCTGTACCATCTGCAAGTAAGTGACTGTCCTCCCAGAGTCTGTGGCTCCCTCCAACAAAGAAATGCTGAGATATGCACCCTTCGTCTTGAGTAATAGTCTTAAAATATTCTTTTTCTGATGTGCCCTTAGATTTCTCTTATCAGTCTTAGTAAAAAAGTAATTTACTTGTGAAACCTTATACCTGATGTCCTCTACCAAGTAATATGATTGGTTTTAAGTGGCTTGAAACCAAATCTAAAAGCCGCTCCAGGTCTTGAAATAGTTTGAACAGTGAAAACATTGGGGTAGGGGGTGGGTGGCACGACTGCTTAGAAGGATAAAGCTTATTTGGAAGTAGAAGTTTGTATGTGTTTAAGATAATCTCTTTACAGTAGGTGTTGCCAAACTATGGCCAATGGGCCTGTTTTGGCAAATAAAGTTTTATTGGAACTCAGCTGTGTCTCTGTTTTGTTTGTTTGTTTTAGCTATGTCTGTCTGTGCATTGCCTGTTGCTGTTTTCACCCTGTGGTGGTTGAGTCAAGTAGGTGGAACAGAGAGGCCCTATGGTCTGGAATCTAAAAGAAATTTTACAATCTGCTATTTTGGGTGAAAAGTTGGCCAACCCCTGTTCTGTAGGTATCATCTACCAAGCTGGCCTCTTAACTGCACAAACCAGCTTGATTTATGATCCAGGGAAGAAAGGAACTATGCGAAGTGTGAGTGGGGAAGTGTGGTGATGTGTTTTGAGAGCTTAAGAAACTTAAGGTAAGTTTGACCTTCCTGTACCCGGAAGGAGACTTACCAACAAGGGCCGTCCTTCACTTTACTGATTCACCCTAATTCTGTCCCATGCCTTTTGGGGTGGTGTGTCATGTCACTCGGCCTTTCTAAAAGCTGTGTTGTTTGTTTTTCAGCATTTCATGTTTCTTAGCCAGACAGAATGTAAACTCTAGAAGGGCACATTTAATTTTGTATAATTAATTAACAAGACAAAACTGATGGATAAATCATAATAGGACTGATGAAAATTCACAGTAAAATCAATTTTTATAGCTATGCGTTAGCTAACTTCCCAATTATATTTTTAAATCTTAACTAAAAAATTCTGAATTAATGTGCTGAACATTTTTCTTGCTCTTGCCCCTGGCCGGGTCATAGTCCTGGGTTGGCATCGAGGAAACCCAAGTTCTAGTCTTGCTTCTTGGGTTGAGCTGAGACCTATGTAAATAAATTTAAAAAAAAAATTAAAAGAAAAAACTTTTTCAAGAAAATTGCCTCAGCTTTAAAATGAGAGGCTATGAACTAGATACTAGTCCTCAAAGCACTGGCTTCCAGTGGAATCTCCTGATTACTAGAATCTCCTGGGTAGGGTGGGGGTGGGGTAGGGATGGAGTCTCTTTGAAAAACATCCATTTATAGCCAATTTCTCCCCTAAAACCTGCATGCTGATTTAGTAGTTTCTGGAGGTTTCCCAAGTATCATGTTAGTTAGCCAATGTAGAAGGCTCTGGTCCAGGTAAGCTCTTAAGAGCCCTTTGTTCCTAACCCTGAGAGGTCACTGTTTTAAAGTTAGTATAATGACAGACAAACATTTATTAACTATGGCCCTGTCCTTCGACATTTGACGCAGCAAAGAAGCACTCACTATTGCAGCCACTGCTCATAAATGACACTAATTAGAGTTTATTAGTTGTGTTCATATAGAATTTAATTCAACCCTCTCAGCAATTCTATGAAGTGAACCAAAAGTCACAATCCTTGTTAATGAGTCGGTCTGAGTCTCAGAGTTTCAGGAGTCTTATTCTCAGGTTAATGTGGGAAGGACAAGATATGAACCCAAGATTTCTAACTCTAAATTCAGTCATCTTTCTCTAAGACAGCGGTTCTCAACCTGTGGGTCGCGACCCCTGTGTAACAATGAAAATACATCGTGGCATGAGGAAGGTTGAGAACCACTGCTCCAAGAGAAGGAAGTGAACCCATATGGACAGAAGACTTTGGAAGGCGGGAGGTCCTGAAAAGGGGCATTTACAAACTAAGAAAACTCCCAAGTTCAGAAGGCCTGGCCCCAAGTTGAGAACTAGACAATGCCTTTGTCCAGATTACAGACAAAAGAACTAGTGCTTACTCGAAACCCTCCTTCAGGACAGACTGAAAGTTTGTGCAGGCTTAATAATAAATGACCATGAAGCCGCAGACCCACGGGTAGCCACCAGAGTGTGACTTTGGTTATTAAAGACGGAGCAAGTTCTGAGTTGGGTGGATGCCATCCGCACCCGCCTCGCTGGTCAATCCAGGCAAGGCACTCCACCTGTCTGGGCCTCTGTGTATGGTGGGTGGCAAGTGACACAGCACCACAAACAGAGTGTCCTCCACCACTTCAGGACTTGAACAATTTAGAGGTGTAAGAATTTAAAACTCTCCTTGACGACTGGTCCCAGGCACATTTGTAGTTAAGCCCAGATTTGCCTGTGTGTGTTTATTACTGTTAACTCTTAGGCAACCTGGGGGTGACTTAAAAGGGGAGATGGCAGCTGTGCAAGTACAGACAAACATCAAAAACCTTGAACTTGTTCTTAAGTCATGGCTACTGACTCAGACTGGTAGTGATACTCGCTTGCGAGTTTTACATTTCCTATTTGACAGCGTTACACTTTTGAAAACTCATGTTGATGAAGATTATCAGCAGATTGGCCAACTGGAAGTAAGCAGACAGGGAAACCGTTTGTCATATGTCTATTAATTAATGACCTTTTTAAAAAGTCTGTCTTTCTGGTGAACAGGGAAGAGAAGAAACTGCTGACATCCATGCAGAAGGCGGTATTTTTTGCAATATGTGCTGTTATCGATCATGTCTAATGTGAAGGGAAATCGTCTTCTGAAAAGAAGCTAATACTAATTCTTAAACAGATACTTACAGCTTGTCCTGTTTCTCCCAGTTTATAAGAGATTGGGCCTCCAGCCCTGTGAAATACTCAGTTCACCCATTCAGACGTCCAGGACAAAGTCTAATTCAGCATAATTAACACAGGGCTCCCTCCAGGCCTGGTCCCAGAGAATGGAAAGACTCACTGCCTGACTTGTAACTACTTCTCTTGGGGAGGGGCCGCGAGCGTCCCTTGGAATTTGTGGCATTTAAAACGTTCCTTCACAAAGGATTTTCCATTTGGAAATTTATCGTTCTGTTTGCTCTGCTCCATGACTTGTTGGAACATCCCTCCACTAATGAGGGAAGGTAATTCATTCCGTTTTACTGCCTTGTTACCCTTAGAACTAGAGCGTTCTCTTTTCTTCTCAAAATGAGACACATTTATTTGTCTGGACTCTTTCCAGATGGCTGGCTGGTTATGACTGCTTTTCAGACATTTTTTTCTGGTGCTTCTCCAGGAAATAAATTTGCACCCCAGGGCAGCAAGCAGAAGGAGTAAGGAAAGGGAATGAAATTGCTGGAATAACCTTGAGGGTGATGATGTCTTTCTGTCTTCAGGCGCCCGTTTCCACCCGGAGACCGAGTCACATTCAATGGGAGAGACTGCCTTTGTCAACTCTGTGCACAGCCCATGTCATCCAGTCCTAAAGAAGCCACCTGCTCCAGCAGTAAGTGCCCTGGTGACCTACTGATGTGAATACCTTTGCAGTTCAAAGGTAGCTCGGGCAGGTACCTTCCCTTCTGAGAGACCCTGTTAGCTGGAAACAGGAGCAGTCCTGCCTACTTGAATAGACATTTCTCCAAAGCTGATTTTTAAAAAAGGACAAGAGATACATGACAAGGTGCTCGGTGTTACTAATCATCAGGGAAATGCAAATCAGAACCACTGTGTGATCCCCCTTTGCACTTGTTAGGATAGCTGTTATCAAAAAGATGAAATAGCAAGCGTCGTGGTAGGCGCAGAGCAAAGGGCATCCTGGGATAGTGTCGATGGGAATGTGGATTCATGCGGCCTTATGGAAAACAGTATGGAGATTGCTAAAGAAACTAAAATAGGGCTGCCATATGACCCAACAATCCCTTTGCATACACAGAGATATCTAGTGTATGAGAAAAACTAAAGTAGGAAGAAAATTAAAGCAAAATAAAAGGGCTGTATTCCCAAAAGATGGTACCTAAGGAGAGATTTGAAGGTAGTATGAGAACAAGCTGTACAAACGTCAGGGGATTTGTAATTATTTGTGGCAAGGTTCTGTTTGACCTGTCAGAATCCAAAGAGAATCCACTTCTGCCAAAATAAAAATAGGAGCCAATTGCACCATTTCTTCTAGTAAATAACATTGGGTAGGTTAGTTAACAGATTTTAAGTTGACATATTCTGAACTCCGGAGGCCAAGCAAGGAAGCTCTATCTCCATGTCTTTCCTAGGGGATTAGGAATCCTGGAGAGACCTGGAATAAACCCCTTTAAGCTCTAAGTGAGTCTTAAGACGTATGAATGAGATAAGCCACTTTTGCACCAGAAGAATTTGGTGCAGTTTATAATAGTGATTCCAAATCTCCCTATTGAAGTAGAAACCTTATAATTATTTTTTAAAAAAATATTCTGAGTAAAGCATTTGCATAGAAATTAGATTTTGACCATTGGGAGAAAAGGAGAAAATACACTTATTAGTGTGTCTTTTTTAGCACACGTGACCAGTCCTTGACATGTGGACTTACAGTCAGCACACATGACCTCCTAATAAATAACAGCAGCCGGGGTGGGACAACAGCTGTGAAGGCCGAACCCTAGACCTCCAGGAGGGCTCCACGTCCTTCACTGTTCTTCCTTCCCGGCCCCAAGCACAAGAGATATAGTTAGCCCCAGGTCACTCAGAAGGCCACCGTAGGAATAGTCACCCCACGGTTTGGGAGGGCTTGGTACTTTGGGAATACTTTCTCGAAAGCTTTGGAGGAATTCTTCAGTCTAGTTGAAAAAGAGGGTTTTTTATTAGTCCCAGAAGATGTGATGGCTCTAGCAGAGGATGGTGTCTGTGAGGCCTGTAATAGGAATGGCCTCTAATTTTGTCAAGTTCTTCAGTGCAACTATCTTTTTGGATAGTCTGGAAACAGGCCTGTGGGCGTATGTAAGGTCGCCTGAGGTGTCCAGTGAGAAGGTAAGGTCAGATGCAGGTCTTTGTTGTGTTTTTGCTTTTATCAAAGACTCCTTGTTGTTTAGTTTAAAAAGCGGCATGCATTTTGGGGGTTTTTGTTTTGTTTTGTTTTGTTTTGTGACACAGTCTCATTCTGTTATCCTGGGTAGAATGCCATGTTGTCATAGCTCACAGCAACCACAAACTCTTGGGTTTGAGAAATCCTCTTGCCTCAGCCTCCTGAGTAGCTGGGATGACAGGTGTCGACCCTGACTCCCAGCTAGTTTTTCTATTTTTGGTAGAGACAGCATCTCACTGTTGCTCAGGCTGGTCTCAAACGCCTGAGCTCAAGCAATTTGCCCGCCCCAGCCTCCCAAAGTGCTAAGATTCCATGCATGAGCCACCATGCCTGGCTTAGAAGCAGAATCTCTTTAAAGGCGTCTAGTGCTCTGTGGCTGTGCAATTGGGAACATGCTGCCTAGCCACAGCGCTACCAAAAGGGTTATTCTAATTTTTATTAATTTCAAAAATGTTCATGTGGCTTACATGTTGTGCACATAAAAAGAAATGAAAACGGGTAAATGTAAAAAACTCAAATTAGCAGCTATTGCCTTTTTAGCACTAGATTTAACAGTTACTGCTTCTGTGTGATTGGTGGGGCCAAATCCTGCTCTCTTTTCTGTTTCCCATGGATGGATTCCCATTTCTGTGCAACTGCTTTGGTCAGAACATTTTTATTTTTAACGAGTAATTGTCTATTTAGACAAATACTCACATGGCATTTATGGGGTATGTGGGTGTCTATAAAAAAAAAAAAAGAACTCTTATAAATGGATACCCATGTGCAAAATATCCGAGCCAGGCAGCCACACAGATGCCTGAGCAATGGGACTTTTCAGCAAGTTTCTGAAATTCACTACAGCATGATTAGAAAACACTTGTCATTTTTTTGTTATTTGTAACTCTTTAAGAGTTCTCTCCTTTTTTCAAACTAGCCTAACGTGACTTTCATTCTTTCTTTATTTTTTTTTTTAAAAAAAGGCTTTTAAACCTTGGCAAAGTTTTCTAAAATGAAGCAGAAAGTGACCTTTTTTTAGTGTGACTCTCTCCCTTGCTCGTGTTCACAGAGTCCAGCAGATATGCCAGAGAGCCAGGGGCATCTTTCTCCTTTGAAGTGTTCTGGTCACCTGTGAGTCTGCTCCCCCCGAGCCCCAGTTCCATTTCACATTCTGTGTCTGGTTTCCCATCATCACCGAGAAGGTGAAGACAGCGGGAGCGGGAGAGCAGCACGGGCTGAGGATGGAGTGAACGTTCACACAACACACTCTCTGTTTGGCTCCCTGAGTAACGATGCAGCGTTTCTATCTCAATCAACCGCTCAGTGGCTGTCACGCCTGTTTGTTCTAATTTAGGTAGAAGCCCCATCGGAGTCTACGCTCCGCACTTCTTCCTTCCACCTTACAATAATTCTAACCTGTGAAGCTATTCTGTTTTTGTTTCCTTTTCATGCCCCCCACCTACCACATGTTATTTTATTTATTTGTTTGTTTGTTTTGCTTTTTGTAGAGACAGAGTTTCACTTTATCACCCTTGGTAGAGTGCCGTGGCATCACACAGCGCACAGCAACCTCCAACTCCTGGGCTTAGGCAATTCCCTTGCCTCAGCCTCCCAAGTAGCTGGGATTACAGGTGCCCGCCACAATACCCAGCTATTTTTTTTGTTGCAGTTTGGCTGGGCTGGGATTGAACCTGCCATCCTTGGTATATGGGCCGGTGCCCTGCCCACTGAGCCACAGGTGCTGCCTGTATTTTATTTTTTTAATTTTTTTTTATTAAATCATATACACATTGATCATGTATACATTAATGCATTTATGGGGTACAATGTGCTGATTTTATATAGAATTAGGAACGCTTACATCACATGGTTAATATATACTTCATCTCGTTTCCTTAATTATTGTGTTGGGACATTTATACTCTATACCAATAGTTCTGACATGTACCCTTGCATTATGCACCATAGGAATGATCCCACCATTCACCCTCCCTCAATCTGGCCTCTCCACTCCCTTCCCAACCCTGCCTCCTCCCTCCTTCATCTTAGGCCATAGTTGTGATCTATTCTTCATATGAAAGTGTGAGTGATTGTAAATTGGTTTCATAATAGTACTGAGTACATTGGATATTTTTTCTTCCATTCTTGAGATACTTTACTAAGTAGGATATGTTCCAGCTCCATCCATGTAAACATAAAAGAGATAAAGTCTCCATCTTTTTAAAGGCTGTATAATATTCCATGGCATATATATACCACAATTTATCAATCCATTCATGGGTCACTTCCATGACTTGGCTATTATGAATTGAGCTGCAATGAAAAATCTGGTGCAAATATCTTTGTTATAAAGTGATTTTTGGTCTTTTGGATATACACCTAGTAGAGGAATTGCAGGATCAAATGGCAGGTCTACTTTTAGATCCCTGAGTATTCTCCATACTTCTTTCCAAAAGGGACGCAAGCACTCAGGTAATGTTTAGTGTGTATCAGTTCCTGGGTAACTGGTTTACATGAGCTCATCTAACCCTCCTACCAACCCTGTAGGTTGGTATGAATGCTATGCCTTTTCATAGATGAAGAAACAAAGGGTCAGAGAGATTCCGTAACTTACCCAAGGTGATGCCAAGCTGGGATCCGACCCAGGCCATCTGGCTCCCAAGGCCATGCTTCCACTTCTAATATTTATTTTGTGATGACTTGATGATGCGGGCATCATCTCTGATTTTCAAAGATGGGGGTGCTGAGCCTTGGAGTGGTGGCCTGCTTGTCTGCAGATTATCCAGGTGTCCTAGAAAAACATTTGCCTGTGTTGCATCAAGGTCCAGTGAGTGGAAACTATCAGAAAGTTACTTATACCAACAAAACACTTCAATGAAAATTTAGTGCCCCAAATTAGTTGAAAATGACACCATATCCTGTCTAATGCAATTTTAATTCAATAAGCAATAAATGTTACATAAAACAGAGATAGTAATGAAAGTTACCTCACGGGGTTGTGATGAGCATTAATTAAAGTGTTTTGCTAGCTGATTTATACTTTTCAAAATGATTCTGTCCAGAAGACATTACGCTCTACCAGAAGGTCAAGTGTGATCCTCAAAGGCTTCCTTCCGCTCCATTCTTCATGTGTTAACCAGAGCCTGAGGGACTGGATTCCCACAGATTAGGGAGCGGCGTGAGGAGGAAGTCTGTTGTGGCACCGAGAACGTCGTGAATGGGTTGGGGGTGTTGTTCCTTCCACGCTCCTGTCTGTTTCAGCCAGCTGAGCAGGAGCTCTCCTTAGTGCCCCTCTCCTTGTCAAAGGGTGTCTGCCTCCTGTCTGACTGTGATGTGGCTTTGGGGGGACTAACAGGATGAACCCCCACCCAAACACACCTAAGCCCATGTTGGCCTCTTTTCCCTCACCGTGCACAGCGTTGGCGTTATTCCACTTGGCCCTGGGATTCCAACAGGTAGCCAGGCAATTGTTCCAG